CAATCTTGGTCTTCATACCAAGTTTTCCCCAGATGTTGAAAGTCATTGAAGACCGTTTTGAAACCCAAATTTTGTTCACTTCATCATATTTGCAAAAACGAGCTGAAACCAACACCAGGAAGATGTAACGTGGGGCGCATTCAACGATATATCATCATACTCGACCGAATATTGCTACTGACAATCCCGAGATCCCACAATACGTAACTGCTCTCACTTTCAGACAAATAGGGTGGGTGCGGGTGCGGCCGAGTCTCCGTTTCCTTTCATCCTGTGTTCGTGTGACTTTGCGTGTGCGTGTCCTTATTGGTCGGTAGAATTGCTCAAACTACCGTCTTCTTATCGGCACTTGCCTCGAGCCCTTATGAGCACTGTAATAAGCAGATCCACCATTAGATCGAGCTCCACTCGTCTCGCCCTTTCCTACTAATTCCCTCTATTAAATAACCTCGACAGTACTTGGTACTGGCTACTACTAGTACTACTACCACTGTTGCCGCCTCTATGGCGGTTATTTGCCTTGTTTGGCTTAATTATCCGAGAGGGCAGAATCTGTCCCCCTCCGGCCTCTTGCTCAGCGTTATGTAAAGTTTTGTGTTTGAAGGACAATTCCTTGTACAAAAGATCCATTCACCCCTTGCTCGGCTTTGATGAGATAGTGGGCTTACCAATTTTGTCAATTTCACGCCGATTACTCCCAACTCCACTGTTCACAGGTCGATTCTCGTGGCATTCGAGTACACTCCTCCACTGAACGTACAGAATCGACCAAATTGATTTTGCCCATCCCCCTTTCCCTTGCTCTCGTTTGCCGAAGAGACACCCCGAGCGGCCATCCCCTCGTGCTCACCATCTACCAAGTGTCCGAGAAAGCGACTTGTCCTCTCGTCCATCAGCCTCTAAGCAATCGTGTAAACAACCAATTTAACCCATATCCCATATGCGTCTGCTCAAGCCTTTGTTCCATTATGCTCTCGACTAATCCTCACTAGTTTTGCTCATTCGACCCCGTGCGTGCAGGTGAACACGAGGCCATAAAGACCTGCATACTGACATTTGCAGGCTAAGGTCTGTTGTTCTAGACGCTCATGTATGACCGGTTTACAGGTATGCAACTGCTGTGGCCACTTTTTGTCTGCTCAACAGTCTATTTTGCGCATCTGCTCATGCCTCCTTCGTCGGGACAACTCGGACGTCTCATCATCCCCTTCTGGTCTGGGGGCCGGCAGCATGAAGGAGGGCTACGAGGGGGACGATAAGTGAGCCGACCGGGTGCTGTTGTCGAGGCAGGCCCGGTCGCCCAGCCTCACTGGCTCGAGGCGATCAGTCCACAGCGCCTCGGTCGGAAGCTATGGCAGGCTGCCCCTCTCAGACTCCCTCCGTGGCGACCCTCCGTCTCGGGCCCCCTTCGCCATGCGCCGCGTCCTCGTCCGCGCCTCCCTTCGTCTCTGTCCTAACGACGACCCATGCTGCTCTGAAGGCACTTTTACGATGCGCCGACGCTCTTGTCCAGGCTCCACTCGACCCCATTGACCCCATGTTGACCTCATCCGACCCTACCTCACCTCACCTCACCTGAGGTGACCCTGTTTCGCCATTCGCTATCAGCGGCCTATTCAACAATGGCTGGGGCAATGCTCCGTCA